TTTGCTAAGTCCTAATTTGATAGTTTCTTGTATGTAATTAACGAAATAAAGCTTACAATATAAAATACATATAACAATTATTGCATCACTTTTATTTTTTACAAGAAAAAGAAAAACGAAAAATATTATTGATTATTATAATTTAAATAATGATAAACTAAATGACAATAAATAATTTTATTTATTAGCTAGACAACGTATATATGTAAATACGTAATTTTTGTTTCTAGTTCCGAATATTATACCGTTCCGATCTAGCTTTCTGGACGATCATCCAATCTCAATCCGGTACACATTTTCCAGGTGCATCCTTAACGTGGAGGTAAATTGCTTACCATAAAGGTCCTAGCAATTAAATTAAAATAACTCTTGTACGAGGTTAATTGTTATTAAGCAATAAATAAGATCATTTCAACATCAAGAAAATATGTCTTTTTGATCATTCCCACTTGAACGTTTTTAATGGTCATAAAATGCATTTTAAGCATTTTATTGATTTTAATAATTTTGACGGCTTATAAATCTGTCGCAGTGAGCTTTAATAAAAACCTTGTAATTTGTTCCGCAAATCCAATTAGCAATAAAACATGGGAAAATTATAATGGAGCAATTGATATTTCTCCAAACGCCATTTTTGAACCATCTACACTTAATGATCTTCAAGATATTGTAAAATTAGCAAGGAAAAATAATAAAACTATTAGATGTGCTGCCCAAGGGCATACGGTCAGTTCACTATCTATCACAGAGCACTCACTATCTGGTGGTAGTCACTAAATTAAATAAGGTTACAGTCAAAAAGATAACAAACATGGCTGGACTGTTACCGCTGAAGCAGGTAAATTTTTATAAGCCTATACAGTATTCATTCATGATAAATGTAATATGTAAGAATGATTTATTTATTTTATTTAATTAAAAATAGGCACATTATTAGCTGATCTTGATCAAGCTCTTCGAAGTCACAAACCACCATTAACTCTTGATTCTGAGACTGTATTAAATTCATTTCAAGTATCTGGCGTTATAGCAGTAGGAGCACATGGTGCAAAAACCAGTTCAGGTATTATTTCAGATTAACTTTGCTCTATAAAAATTGTTACTAGTTCCGGTGAAGTATGTGAATTTAGCAAAGAAATAAACAAATCAGAATTCAATGTTGCTAAAGTCAACTTAGATAACTATTAAGTTTTCACTTTTGTTTATTCATTTTTCTTATCTAACTTTATTTTTGTTTAGGTTTACTTGGTATAATCTATTTGGCGACTTTCCGTGTATAACCAATATACAATCTTCTTATGATTGACAACTATGTTCCATTAAAAGAATGGCTTACTCCACAAACCATTAAAAATCTTTTAAAATCTTTTGATGGTATTGAACTATTTTATTGGCTATTTAATGGATTCAATCAGAGTGACCTGAATCCTCTTGATCCTAATAGAGATCTAATTTGGGTTAAAAATTGGTACGAACTAATAAATCCGCAAGTCTCTCACAAGAACAACTCAATCAATTAGTTATAAACCAAACACAGGGTTTTATCCAGCAGTATCATCTCTTAAATAGTCTCATACAAACTCCTGAGGCAACACCGAACATTACCACTACAATTTGGGAGACTTTTATTAGTGGTGATAATAGTAGTCTTGTACTTGAGGCGCCTGATGCTTTCCATTATATACCTGCCGTAGAAAGTGTCAAATTTGATCTATTTGAATTTGGATTTAAGGTTGATCCAGATTTTTCCAATCTCGTTGCCGAATTTTTATTTGCAATTCAAACAGTGAGTTTATTATTGTATTTAATATTCTGTTATTTTTGTTTGCTTTTGTTGATCTTTAAGATAGCATTATTATATTTGTAGTTATATGAATTCGCAGCAAACGGAGAATTTCCAGTAAATTATATTGTAGATTTTAGAATTATAAAATCAACCAAGGCCTTACTATCTACTACTTACGATGATGATTCAGAAGCATTGTATTGTCAAGTGGGCTTTGAAACAGCCTATAAAACTCCTAGCTAGGAATAATATACACAATTAATAAGACAGAGATATATTAATAAATATAAAGCAAAGTAAGGAATAATTAAATTTTTTTTCTTTGCAACGAATTGCATTAATTTACTAATTATAAAAACTTATTTATTATAGACTTCATTGGGCAAAAGAATAGGAATTTTATTTCAAATATTGACACTTATCTTTCTAATGTCTTATCAGCTCAAATTAAACAATTTGAGAAAGTACATGCAAAGCACGACCCTGATAAGATTTTCTTTGATAATAAGTCCTTGCAGGATATATTTAGTAAAGCTTTAGAAAAGTAAATGCTCAAAGAAAAAGAAAAATTAATGCCGATCTAAGATTAGTTTGAGACCCAGCAATATTGGAATTAGTTTATCAAATATCATAAAATATATAAGAATGCTGTATAATAATATTGTATTTAAATAGATACAATATTTCAATACTGTCCTTTGTATATTTGTATATTATGAGATTCCCGTATTGTTATAATACCAGTACGATCACGTTTCTTGTGTAACATGAAATGTGGTAGGGATGGTTTCCTTCAACTTTTTTTGATGTCGCTTATGCTGATTTTTGCAAAATCCATTTTTAGTAGGAGTAATGAATTTCGTTTATTCGTTTTTG